CTTTGGATGCCATTTGTGTAACAGCTGACGACACTTCATCACATCGGGTGACACTTCTTACAGGTTCGCAGATGGCTATCTTGTCACCTTTTTGAATCTTGACACAATTCGGGAAAACATTCGCAATTCTGATCGGTATATTCTTGTCGGTGTTCACCAATGACTTTCCTACTAAGTACCTATCTTGTTTCTTGTCGCCACTTTTTACCAGTCCAACACAGCACCCAGCGATTTTCTCCACTTTACCGAATACGATCTTCTCGGTATTACCAGGTATCACCACAGTTTCCGCTGATCTTACATCCATTCTGCCTGGTCCCTCGTCTGGAGATAACATGAACTCTTCATATCCAATATTTAAGATATTTCTCTGGTGATCGAACGAAAATCCATGTTGACGAATCATATCCATGCCCAAGATGAAGTCATCTTCAATATCTGCCACTAAGACGCTATGCTGAAACTTCAAATTTCCTAACTTCAGTTCGACGATAGCCTTTCCCCGTGCAACGGCCATTTCCCCCGTAACTGTACGTAAACACACTCTTCTTCCCAGAGACATCAGCTTCAATCCTTGCACTGAGTTAGCCCGCACCAACGATACCATAGCGCCAGTATCCACAGTCATTCGAATTCCCTTTCCATTGACTTTCCCGTCGATCACCAAGCTGTCAGCGGTTGTTCCTAGACTCCTAATGGAAAAAATCCTGGGGGCTCTGTTCTCCCCAGTCAATACTCGCCCCTTAGTATTGACTGATTTTAGTTTTCCTGGTGCCTACGTTCTCTGGATGCTGAACGGGATCGCATGAACGCGGCAATCCCGTTTGATGTGGCCATTCCTGCCACATCTATAGCACCTTATGTCCTGGGATCTTCTGCCGATGTTCTCTGGATGGTGAATGGAATCGCATTTGGATGCGACAATACCGTTTGATGTGGCCATTCCTGCCGCATCCATAGCACCTCATGTCCTGGAATCTTCTTTGGTTCTCTGTCTGGGTGTTGTTGACTTACTTGTTTATTAGTAGCTCACATAGTTTGTCGAATTTTCTACACATCTCCTCCAAACTTCTGTGGGTACTCTCGGGCTGTTCCTCTACCGTTACCGATCTTATCTTCGGTCTAGGGATGGCGCTAAAAGCAGCTTCGATTTCCAGCGCCCTGACCAGTGCTTCGCTGCTGGTAGAAAATCAGGATATTTGCAGCGCCCTCTGCGCCTGATAAAGCACTGAGCAGCGAGTTCCTCCCTAAATCCTTCCGGTGCTTCAGGATACGCTAGGTGTACCAGCCGACGTAAGTCTGCTTCAAATTCCTGCAGACTCTCTCTGGACCTCTGCAGGCGTGTCTTGATCTGTGCCTGGTAAAGTTGGCGTCGATGTTGGTCGCCATATCTTCTGTCCAGTGCAGCGACCAAAGTTTGATATTCCTGCTGTTGGGCTGCAGGAATAGTTTGCAGGAGTTCCAGGGCAGGGCCACGCAGCGCGATGACAAGTGCCGCTGCTTTCTCCTGGTCAGTCCATCCATTGGCAGCAGCCGCTGCTTCAAACTGGCGGTGGTACATCGTCCAGGTGGTTTGTCCATCGTAGGTCGGGGCCTTGAGGTTCGCAGTTCCATGGAACGCCAGGTGTTCTTACTTGTACCTTGGTCTTGTGTAGGTCCATCTCTAATTTTTCCATTTTCTGCTGAAGGCGTTCCTCCAGATCTTCTACGGCTTCTTGAAGGTGGATTTCTTGCCTTCTTTCTAGTTCTTCAAAGTTCTTTTTAAGACGGTTTTGATCTTCTCTTGTCTTTCTTTCTGGCGGTGCGTCTCTATATCTTCTAAAATTTCCCATTCATTCTTCTTCTGACGGATTTCTAAATTGCCTAAAATTTTCTCAAGCCGGTCCTGTTCTTCTTGTTTATCTTGTTGTCGTTGAATTTTCAAATCTTCGAAAATGTTCTCAAGCCGGTCCTGTTCTTGTTGACGTCGTAGTTTTTCCTCTTCCTTTCTCTTTTCTAATCGGGCTCGCTCTTCTTCTCGTTCTTTACGGAGTCTTTCTTGTTCTTCTGCTTTCTTTTTTCTAGTCGGCCTCGCTCTTCTTCTCGTTCTTTACGGAGTCTTTTCTTGTTCTTCTGCCTTCTCTCTTCTCATATTCTCCATAAAATCGCCCAATAATTTGCTTACTTCCTCCATTTTCTTCGCTTGTTCCCTTGTACCAACCATAAAATACTCTAATTCGGTCTAAAAAATCTTCCAATCCACTTAATTTCTGCTTAAAATCCTTCTTTTGAATCCCAATTTCCGACACCAATTGTTACGGATTCCGTGGGTCCACTAATTTAAACTCACGATAAAATACTTAACGAATTTATTTTCTCACTTTATACACAATTACTAACTTATAACACACAACAAACTAACTATTTATAAGATTCCTTCACCAAATTGTCCGATTTTCAATTTCCACGCGGTATATTCAAATTTCAAAACTGTCTCAGTTGTCGATGGCTCCGGCTTTATATACTTTATTGATCAAGCTTCTCGAAATTTCCCCAATTCTCGAAAGCGTACTTCTTCATACCAGACAATTCTATTGTCTGATTCCCTTACTTCTCGACTTGACTAAAAGATGGCGCCTGAAAAAGTCTTTTAATTTCTGGCGGATACGTTGCGGTTGTGCAGGCAACCAGTAATACATTTTTAATTTCTGGCGGATGCGCCATTTTTCTTGACAATATATTTTTTGTCATATTAGTGTGTTATCATGATACAGGTAGTTGTATCATAGTGCCTTATGCATGTTATTTACCTATTATATACTTATGCTTATGCATTATCAGTAAATAGATGATAACATACTAGTAAAATGTTTTTTTAATAGTATGTTTATCTTTCCAATTCACTAGTTATTTGCAAAATGTATTTTGAACTAATTTAAGTCATTAATTGATCATCTTTCTTTTTCAGGTTCCGGGATTTGTGCCGGGATATTCTTTTTCATTGTTAAAAAAATATATATATTTCAATATTATTGTAATATAAATCGCAGCTCTAAAAAATAAATGATATTGTTTACTAATGTGTAATTTATTTACTATGAATTTTCTCTGAAAATAATAAGTCTTTAATAATATCATTGATTTGCTGTGTAAAGTTAATAGACATATTTTTTAATACATTAAATTATATTAAAGTAATAAAAAATATGTTTATTAACTTTAAAGAGTAAGTCAGTGATACTTATAAAAGTATTTTTTTAAAAATTTCCCCTCTTTTAAGCCCCGCCCCTCCAATTCCCCTCAATTTAGCTAGTACTGCCAGGCGACACCAGGTGGCGTCTGTTTCCATTTTTTAACATGAAGTTAGCATTTCTTTAATGTACCTATTCTCTGGTGAATACCTAAGTGTGAGAAAACCTTAAAAATATGAGAAATTGAGAAAAATTCGACGTTGACATAATTTCCCTTTTTCTGAAAAGCGGTCTGAAGCCCCGTTCTCAGAACAGCGACTGTCGCCAGCGACACGTCAAGAGGACCAATGAGATTTGTACAAAATTCAAACAGCTGTCAATTTTAAATTTAGTACAGCTCCCATTGGTCGTTTGAAGTGTCAATCCAGGTGGATGACACTTCTTATGGGAGAACTGGAAATGGTTGAAAACTTGACTACAAGCGATTTTCTAGGAATCTTCCTTACCGATAAATTATTGACAAGAGTGACAGATAAAACCTTGACATTCTTTCAGTATAACTGTTCATCTCTTTTTCTTTCTAAAGTGTGCGTTGAAAGGAGACAAAAACAATTTTTGTAACCCATAATTTTGTTTTCGAACACCACTTTTCTCCTTGTCGGGTCGTTGACGTGACTTGTCGCCATTTTATTTCTTTTGTTTACACGCTGCAGTTTGCTTTGTAAATTGAATACATAAATTATTTAGGCAAATATAGGTTTTTGATAAAACTCCTTGGACTAACGTGTAGGTAAGTGTTGATAAATAAGTTTTTTTTCATCTTAACATGCTCATTGTCATTCTCCTGATTTAGGTGACAGAAAAGGATCATCAAATGAAATTGAATTTTATATTTTTTCATCCCAGGACCGATAATAAAATATATATTTTATGGATACCTTCCTAAATATCAACGAGATGAGCCATCGGAAGAAAGGGACCATAGTACAAAACAGAAAGGTGATCTTTTTTCTTTCCACTTAGGATATTGAAATTATTATATACTGTAGTCGTGTTTGGCATTATGCTCTTAGAAATATAGGTAAACAAAGAAGAACAGATATAAAGCATCCCAGAGGAAAAGAGAGGCAATACCTGTACTCTCTCTCTGATATTTGTGAAAGTTACGGCAAAGTATTGTTGTAAATGTCATCTTTTTAATCGACCTGAAAACTTCGAGCAAAAAGATGACACTTTCAACAAAACCCTGACAGATATCAGAGACGATACAGGTTTTTCCTCTCTTTTTCCCTGGAATACTTTTAATTTATTATTCTTTGTTTATCTAGATTTCTCAGAGCACTATGAACGAACTCAGCTTGTATGTTTGAAATAATCGTCCAGTTGGCTTCAAAATGATGATCGATGACATTTCCTATATAATTTTACTTTCAAAATTATGATATATATCGTCATTTCTAAGCCATCTATGACGCCATTTTTTTCAGTTTTGTTATAATTAATTTTGTCTCTTGATCTACTTGTAACATTATTTTTTAATTTTATTAATTTATTGTGGTGAAATTAATTTCTGTTGTATATTTGATATTGATATTAAACATATTTTTAAAAAATGGTGTATTTTTTGTGTTTTTATCTATGTCATAATTAAAAATAAATGAAGAATTAAAATTTTTTATTTTTTTAAACTTCCCGCCATGCGTGACAATCTAGTCCGTAGTTCCTACAAGCGATATTGGGGGCGCTAGTAGCAGTAGACTTGTCAACAGTGTCAAATTTAAACGTCAATTTCACTTTCCAATATTTAGCAAGGCGCTCGCACTTCTCCTTGTGTATGTGTTTTGTGCTTCTCCTTGTGTATGTGTTTTGTGTGTCAATCAGTGTCGCTGTCGACACGACGCAGTTCTGAGAACGGGGCTTGAGACTGCCAGGAAAAAGTTGATTCGTAATCTACAACCTCAAAATACAGTGTATACCAATTTTTGTGCAAATCATGTGTGATGAGTAAATCGGACGATTCCCAGCTTTTCCAATAATTACCATTTTTTTTCTGTTAAGTGTGACATCTACATATGTGATTTTCGCCCCGTCCGTTTATGGCTACGGAAGAACGAATCCCGCACTATCCCAAAAATGGACCTAAAAGCTATTTTAAAAGAAAAACTAAAGAAATTGGATGGTGAGTTAAGTTACACATTACTGGAACATTTTTTAATTTAAATCATTACAGAAAATTCTGTTTCATATGAAGAACCTCTTAGAAATGAAGACAAGATTTTTCAAGACTTATTGCATGAATGGGGTAAAGTATCTATCAAAAGTAAAATAATTCCAAGGTTTTTTAACAGGATTCCTAGTGAAACAGAACCTTTAAGGCAAAAGTTACGTGAAGAAAGCAGGTCAGATTTGTTGAAGCGAAAAAGTCTTCCTCTTCTTGATAGAAATGAGTTAAATGATTTATGGATGTTATTAGATCAGCATCAAAGCTTTCCAGATGAACAGTTAATTACATACAGTGATTTTCAGGTAAGAGTCAGGTTATGGTTAAACCTGCAGCAATTTATACTAGCGATGGGAACTATCGAATGAATTAGACTATCGAATGGTTACTGACTGAATGATTTCAACTATCAAATGGTTTTATTCGAATAAAATCATTCATTCATTTGTATACTAAAGCATATGTAACAACCTCGCCGTGCGACTAAATGGTTATCGTTGAGCCACGACTATCGAATGCTTTTGATAAATGAAATTTAGAATAACTACGACGTATAAATAGTGTGCTATTTTTTGGCGTTTATTAAAATATTTAAAATACTAAAATAGTAGTTTTTTTAATTGACGATTGTGTGCGTGTGGAGGTGATCAAAATTTTTTCCGAAAATTTGTGTGATTTTCCGTGAGCCCGATCTTTCAATTATTTAATTTTATATGGTATATGGTCTATTTTTTATTGGGTAATTTTGAGAAGTAGCAATTTTAAGAGAGATGAGATGAACTTACAATTAATTTTAAAAATACATATTTGTATTTTAGATGTTTTAATTTTTTTAATAATATGAATTAGTTGAACTTAATAATCATATTTAAGTAATGTGGTTAAGTAAATGATTATCGAACTCAAACTATGGGGTGAGAAAATTAAATTGAAAGTTTTACACGTGCCAATTAAAAAAAAAGTTAACGATGTTTGTATTTTGTTTATGCTAATTCTCTTACATGTAGTTTTTTGCGAAGAAATATTTCATTTATTGGTATTACCCATTTATTTTTTAAAGTAAATGCCAGTAAAAGTAAATATATTATTTTTAAATAGTAATATAAATAAAGCACCTAATATAAATAATTTTGATTTCTAATTTTTTATTTATATTTTCCTTCCATTACACTGCATGCTTAGAAAATTAATAAATGTTGATATTTCATGATTTTAAAATTTGTTGTTAATATAACAAATTAGTTCTGTAATTATTATTATTTATAAACCAACGTTGCCACACAAAAAATTTTAGAGACTATATTATTTTTAAATAGGATCTAATATAAATAATTTTGACATCTAATTTGTTGTTTATATTTTGCTACTACTTAAAAAATGTTTATATTAAATGATTTTAAATTTTGTTGTTAATAGGTATAACAAATTATTACTGTTATTATTATTTATAAAACCAGTCTTTGCTTAAAAACATTAAAAAATAATTTTTTCTACATCCAAAAATAAAAGTATTATTGCAGTGTAACAACAGAATATTAATAAAAAATGTAAAACATATATAGACATACTATCCCTAACTAACTAATGCTAAAGAATAATATTCTTTGCTAATACCAACTAATACGAATATATGGCAACAGCGCCCTTCATAATGTATTTTCTGTGTAAATACTAGCACCTCAATAAAAAATAATGTCCTTATCTTTATCTGACTCCACAAAAATCAAAGATGCCGCCTTCTTTCATAGTAGCATTGCCACCGACCGCTGTCGGGTTTCTCGGAGAAAACCTACGTCGCCGGGCGACAACTAAAATCCAGATAATATTTTATTATAATCGATCCTGACCAATAAATGAATTTCATAAATGAATGAATTTTATAAATGAATGGTTTTTGCTGCCAAATTACTAGAATAAAATATTTCAAGGCAGATGACGCATCTATTCGATAATTTTTATTCGAATAGTTTTCAACGAATGTTTTCTTACTAGCTATCGAATTATTCGAATGAATTGCAACTATCGAATGTTTCGATAGTATTCATTCGATAGTTCCCACTACTAATTTATACCTTAAGCGGCCCTCACACGATCAATAATATTGTCAGTTTTTTATTGTCAATATTTTATCAATATTTGAAAGTTGGCCTGACACGGATATATGTATATCAATATTAAGTTTTGTGCAGATATTAAGTGTGAATTATACCCTATGCCAAAAAATTATAGATAAAAAAAGCGTGTCATTTTGGCAGTGAGTGTCAGTCAGTGAGAAAAAATAGAGGAAAAAATTTAAGAAAAGACATATAAAAAATGGATATCCAAAAAGAAAAAGGCCAACTAAATCTTCTAGAGTATGTTAAGAAATGGGAGCCTGATGATTGCGATCTAAAACTGGTGAAAACAACGACGGCGATGTTCCGTCTTCCGCCATGGTTACGAATAAACTAGTCAAATTTTGTCAATCGTGCGACCTAACGATCAATAATTAATCTAATCATAATTATTTAATCATAGATAAAAGAAAATAATCTACTATTAAGATAGATATGAAACTTAATAGTAAAATTTTGGGTCAAAGCGCCCCTCCGTGTTTTTAGTGGAGACTACGTTTAACCCAGCGCCTTCGCCTTTTCTGCTGTAAATGTTTTTTATGTTTATATTTGAATTCAAAGGATTTATTTTTAAAGTTACACTGATATATTAGTATATCAGAGTAACTTTAATAAAACATAAGAATATATATATTTTACAATTTATTTTTCTATTTATTTTACAGAGTTTCATGTAAGTGATCGAGATTTATAGATTTTAAAGCGAACGAAAAAAAATCAAACAACGAATACATACCATATATTTTTCTTTTATCTAAGATACATACCTTATCGTCTTTTCGAAACACGTACATTTTTGCAGTTTTGTTAGTTTCTTTGAAAGATGCAACACAACAAGAAAACACCATTTTTACAGTTAATAAATAATAAAACTATTTCTGACTATGATATTTAAAATTTAGATAGATAGGAAATTAAAAAACAAACGAGTATTTGCAAACGCAGGCTCAACTTCAATAAAAATCAAAATTTTTCCTGCGAAAATCAGGCTTTTTTCACTGAAAAGGTATTTTTTGATTTATCAGCAGTCATTGTCAAGTTGACAATATACAGGGTGTTTTCGAATTAGTCTAAAAAAATTATGGTGTGATTCCTCATGTGTTCTTAAAACAATTTTTATATAACCATTAGGTCTCAAGTACTTACTTTCAGATCTACAGGGTGTTAAAATTTAAAAAAATCGATTTTTTGCCTAACATAAATGGTACACCACTGCTTTTTTAAAGAAAAAATCTATTTTTCTTGACTGGCCATCCTTTTTCAACAAAATTTATCTTTTGAGTTTTTCTTGTTCATCAAACGGTTGTCGAGAAAAAAATAAATATACTTATTAAGAGCCCGCCTTAATTCGTTTTCTAACGATTTTATATTTTTTAGATTAATTAGGAAACACCCTGTATATGCATATCACAGGCAACCAAATAAACTAGTAACCTCTAAAAATTATTTTTTCTACCGCTAGCGACATACCGTGTTTTTAGTGTGTACTAAATTATTTTATCAAAATTTCACCATATAAGTTTCCAGGCAATGGCCTTTAATATTGTTGAGTATTTTCAGGATCCCGAAAATCCATCAATATATTGAAAGTACATCAATATGTATATACACTCAAACGCTCAATATTATTGTCAATAATCAAAAATATTGACAATTTTATTGATTGTGTGAGGGCCGCATTAGATTTGAGATTATACTATTTTTTTTTTATTTTTAAGAAAGTCTCACAACTAGCCAGTCCAAAATCAAAGCCTTACTTCAAACCTAGTCTGTTTGCAAAATTACAGCAAGGTGATCCTCAGGGCAGAGTATCTATAATTTCATTGTTCAACTATGTCATGAGAAAAGTATGGCTAGACCATACAAGAGTTGGCTTATCAGTATATGATAGTAATGGTCAAGGTAAGACTTCATATTTTCTTAAAATATTTTATTAATTTGTTAAAATATTTTTAGGGTATCTTACCGAAACAGAATTGGAAAACTATATTACTGATTTGTTACCGACACTATGTCAGTTGGATGGTTTAGAGAAATCATTTCATAGTTTCTATGTTTGTACAGCTGTAAGAAAATTTTTATTCTTTTTGGATGTAGTGAGGGTCAATAGGGTAAAATATTGTTTTATATATACTCCATAAACTTTAATAATATTATTGTAGGTAAGAATATTAGATATCTTAGCATGTTCGTTCTTGGACGATTTATTAGAATTAAGAGATCAGGATTTAAGTAAAGATTTGCAAGAACAGAACTGGTTCAGTGCACCATCAGCTTTGCGAATATATGGTAAGTTTCCTTCTATAAACTAGTCCTTCTATATTAGAAGATAATTTTTTGTAGGGCATTACCTGAACTTAGATAGGGATCACAATGGAATGCTTAGCAAAACTGAATTATCTGGTTATGGTTCTGGAACCCTAACACAACCATTTCTAGACAGAGTTTTTCAAACGTGCCTTACTTACGGTGGCGAAATGGATTATAAGACTTATTTAGATTTAGTTTTAGCTCTAGAAAATAGAGGAGAACCACAAGCACTGACTTTCCTTTTTAAAATATTGGATATAAAGGACTGTGGCTATTTGGATGCATTCACATTAAACTATTTTTTTAGGTAAGTTTAATAAATACTTAAAAATCTTTATTGTAATTTTTTAATTTTAGAGCAATTCAAGAGCAAATGAAGGTGAATGGTTCTGAACAACCAATATCATTCCATGATGTCAAAGATGAACTCTTTGATATGGTTAAACCGAAAGATCGAGAAAAAATTACTTTAAATGATTTGATTACCTGCGGGCAAGGAGACACTTTCGTCAGTATTCTCATTGAATTTCACGGATTCTGGGCTCATGAGCACAGAGAAACTATATCATCCGAACCTCAGGATACTTTGTGATATTGTTTAATATTTACTTTAATAAATCAAACTGATTTCCTAATTATAGCAGATATTTATTTGAATGATTTTCTACCACTACAATAAAAGGAATATAAAAATACAATATACCTTATAAAATTACTATATAAAAAATGGCGTTTAAAATTGTACTATTGGGGCAAACTAACACCCCGTCCTACGTGGACGACGAATGCGCGCTTATGACCGACGCGGCGTTATCAAAAAACGTTTTCTTATGAAATCGTCCTGCGTCGGCGATGCAGGACACTTTCATAAGCATATATAAGAGAGCTAATTCATAAGTTTCATAAGAAATTGTTCATTGTTCAAAAGGAAACTTTTTTAATCACGTCGCGTCCGTCGGTTGTAACGCGCGTATTCGTCGCTTACGTAGGACGGAGTGTTAAGCATATAATGTTATGCAGATAGTGCTGTAAAGTTCTTAAAATGGAACATTTTTATATCTTTATACAGGGTGTTATTATGTATGTAGCCAAACCTTAGGGGATTATTTTTTAGCCTTTTTAAGACAAACATTTATTTTATATCCGTAGATCCAGAAATGCTTCCTTTTCAATATGCAGGTTGTCAAACTTTCAAATATTGTTTTTACGTAAATATCAATGTTTTAGTCCATTTTAAAGCTAAAATAATAATGCCTAGTGAACAAAGATTAAGCACAGATTATAAAGTTATCGTCAAAAGCATTGTTTTTCGTGGTTCCAAATTTCGGAGTCGCGCACTAGTTAGATTACTAGTTTGCGCACAAGCACGCCCATTTATGGCCTCTAAAATTGTAAGCGCCTGACCGGCCCAGTTATTACGCTGTTTAAACGGGAGTTTATTTTTGCGCACAAGAAAATTTACTCGTTTGCTCATCGTCATAAAAAAAATGTTCGTACCACGAATTAGGGACAAGATTTTTTATCTGTATATTTATAGGATACCTAATCTGTAGATTAAGTGTGTAAATTGAATTGGAAGCATTTTTGGACCTGTTTATATAAAATTTTCGTTTTAAAATCATGCAAAGGATCAGCTTAAGTTTTGCTATGTACTTAAATAACACTTTGTATGTTGATATAACCTTAACCTTAATCGATAGACATGCAATAAAATTTGGTTAAAACAGTCTTATTGTATAATATAATAACTATACAATAGTATAATATACTTTTTTAAATAATTAGATTAATAAACTATTTACAATTTTTAAATTAAAACAATTAGAACATTTATATTTAACCTAACCTAACTATACACGGCGTAAATAAATATCAAAAATTGTTTAAAAAAATTAATTATTACTGTACGTTAATTAATGACGTAATTATTGACAAGACAACATTATCTCTAGTTGATGATGACGCTGTCTTGCATATACTAATTGTATATATTTTTTGCGTGTCTAAAATTTAGATTTTTTACTCTTATATTTAAAGCCTCCATATACTTTAGTTATTTTGCCCAGTTTTAACTGAATGGGCAGTACTATAAAGTTAAAAACTTCAGTGTATGAGGGTCTTTGGTCCAGTTTTGCCTATTCATTCAATATGTATGGTTCGACCGTTCGTTCCTACCCGATAATGTAGAGGCATAAACCGAGCAGTTTTATTCCAGCCAGTGGCGCCAGCACTTTTTAGTTATTTTTATATTGTTTTCGGTGCTTGCATTCGACAAAAATGATTACTAACACTTAATAATATACCATTGAATTTATTGAAATGTATAACGTATGATCGAAAAAAAAAACGGCGTCCAGTTGGCTGAGACGTGACGATCGATGACATTAGCGTTTTTAACTGCATGGTTAAAACTGAGCAAAATAAACAAAGAATATAAGATCCTTAATACAATTAACAAATAAATAAATAATACTGAAATCTATAGTTTATACATAATAAATAAGAAAATTCGGCGTTTTGAAGTACTTAGCTGCGAAAGCACACCCGTCCTCCGTAGGCGATGTCAAAGCTATGTCTTCATCATTTAAAATACGGCCATAGATGAAATTTCTTTTCACAGAATTCAGCAAGGCAGTTGCTATGCCTTGTTTTCTGTGGTTGATGCTGACCCAGATGTGAGAAATACCGCATTTGATGGGGTAAGTTTCTTCTGAGCACATGGTAACGTTGTTGAGGGTGCTCAACATCTTGTGGCCTGGTTCTTGAGGCACTGCTGCGACAGCACAACCAGCGATAGTGCGGTTTTTTATGTACAAATAGACTTGAGAGTTGGATACGTTGTAATCGATTTCATAGCATCCTAAATCTCTTTTTATCACTTCCATGAGATCTTTAACTTTTTTCAGCCATATTCTGGAATCGGTACATAAAACTAGTATTATTCGACCCATTTGTTGGAAATCTGCGACAACGCGTTCATTTTTCCAACCCTAAAAAGATGATTTTTTAATATACAGGACGTGAACAAATAACTGGGTAAGGTTTAAATAGAATCATTTGTTGAATACTCATATGGATTAATTACGGTGATTAATTTTGGAATAAAATATCAATAGGATAATCAACTTACGGCAAATCGCAAGATATGATTAGAATTATGGTAGTTCATGTGTGCAATCTCATCTCCTGGGTCCCCCATATGGTACACTATATCACATTCATTGCAATGGGTGTAGCCAAATCGTTTTTGCCCAGCATCCAACAACATCTGATCAGAAGATATAGCTAAAAACCATAAAATTAAAGTATTATGTAACATACAGGATGTCCCAATATTCCGTGAACATAGAATTACTACTAATTACTACTAGCGGCGTAGCATGGCATCAATACAAGGGCGCATCAATAATAAGTAACTGCAATCAACATTTTACCAACACAATATTTTCTTTTAATAAAATTAAAGTATTTCATTTTGAAGTTACAAAAATAAAACGAAGACTACACGGGAAAAACCAGATATGTCACATTTTCATAGAAATTAAGAATTAATCCCAAAGATATTACAGCTTGATTATTTTGCCATACAAGGTAAAAACCAAAGTATTCCACGCGTAAATGACAAAAACCAGAGATGTCCTTACAAATGGGCGACAAGCATGCATCTTGCATGTAGAAAATTTACGTATTATGTCTATTCTAATAAAAATCTAGTTAAATATTAGAGAACAACGGCCTACGGGCGAGTCGGCCGCTGCTAACACGTAGACGTAAAGTATCTTAAACATGTAAAAATATAAGAAATACGTGTGCATGCGTAAACGTTTACGTGTTTGTAGTTTGTGCCATTGTTCTCTATTAATTTACTTCCTACAACAAAAAATTCAAAGTCCTTTACAAAGATGCAACCGGGGGGGCATTGAAAATGATGAATAAAAACGTAAAAATATGATTAGTGTTAATATGAGTGTATTACATACATATGTTTAAATAACGAACTTAACAAAAAACAACAGATTTAAAGATTCACTAAAAAAGTAGTAATGTTAACATTAAATAAAAAATTATCAATAATAATTATGCGATCGCACCTATCCGTAAAACAAGCAAGCAAAAAAACCTCGAAAAAAACAAAATAACATACAAAACATCAGGTTAACATGATGACAGATCATGATCAATAACAGATAAAGAATTCTTACGGAAAGTTACACTTTACGATATAATTTTTTAACTGTTAAAGGCAAACCCCATTTAAACACAAAACTTTTTAATACCTACTACTGTATCTAAAAGACATTTTTTTTAAATTACTAAATTCTTAGCCACGCTTCTGTTTTTCTTGGCTGTTGTGCATCACGTCACAGATTAACAGGCCCACGTTTGCACCACAAGGCGATGTTGCAGACCACTAGGTAGACCGGTCGTAGACATTTATGTTATACAACTTGTACTCAATCTACACAAATATTATCAAAAACTTTTTTTCTTTTAAAATGTGTTCAGATTTTGTAAAAAGTATAAGTCAAAATCGCAAAACTTAAATTTGATATGAGGTTCTTAGTTTTTAACTAATATAGTGACGAATTACAAAAATTCCTTTTCAATGAAAATTAATGAGTTAAATAAAATAATTTAATAAATGACTAGCTTGTTCCCGCGACTACGTTCGCGTTACACCTCGAATCGTTCATGCATTGATTTAAATGATTTTTTTCTTCTTTATAGAGAGCTAGTGAGCATAGATGTTTTTTATTTTTCATCTTTTTTTTATTTATTAAGAGCACTAATACTCTCTTTATAGGTTATTTTTTATTCTTTGAAGGATAATTGAGGAAGATATATTTCGTTATGATGTCACTAAATAAACCCTTGTATAAAATTTTATACTGTCTGGTTTATAATGTTATAGTATTGCATTTTCGTACAGCAAACTTTCATTCCCTATTCTACTCCCTAAGGGTATAAATTTCATAAATTCGCTTTACCTTTGTGCCAATTTTTATGTGTATAATCCAGAGGTCACCAAGTTTTATATAAATTTTTACTAACTTTACCCATTTGCTTGGTTGATGAATTTCAAAAATTTCTTCTAATTCTTTTTGTAGGATTTCATTCTTCTAGACCAAATAGTAAGGAATTTTCATACAACAAACTGTTCCGAGATAATTTTACTCTCTAAGAGGATGATTTTCCTAAAATCGCTTTGTGTAGCTAATTCACTAATGTCGTTTAAACGAACCTTTGTTGAACCATTGCTAATATTTATGTATCTAAAGCTGGCGGTATGAACTCACTCCTAAAATATCTAAAAACGTAATATATAATCTAACTGACACACCACTGACAATGACAAATAATTTATTTCTGGAGGTATTGTGTGTAGATGTTTTTCAGGTGTGTTTTAGTATTTAGTCGTTTTACACAAAGAAATAGCCATTAAGCACTATAAAAATACTTCATAACAAATCTACAGATATATACCTTTCATTTAAAAAAAGAATTATTTATTTTTCCAACATATTTTATTTTGCAAATTTTTATAAATATTCAGACTCGCCAATATCGTAGTCCACCGTGTCCAGCCTGTTTAGCCAAACGTAGGCCGATTCCTCTTCGGCGGCGCGCGGCGTCGTGACCCTGGCCGATGGAAGAGTCTTGAAGACGCTCATCCGCGCATAGGAATAGGTTGACTGCGTAGCGTATTACGTATTAATCGATTCTGAAACTTTCTATCTCGTGTATAACATGTTACGCAAGTTTATTATTTTAATCTCGATTTTAATAGATAAATGTGTGAAATGCCACCTGAATATCTTCCGCCATGACATGTTTTACTTTTTGTTATGGTAAAGTGATTTGTATAAACTTTATTCAATAACGTATATTTTCCTCCATTTGTGATTTTTTAATTTTAAGCGAAAATTAAGTATGACATTTTAGGAAAAAGAAACACTGTAATATTTAAAAGAATAAGAAGAAATTAGTCTTATTTTGAAAGGAAAATATAGAAAAAAAACTCTTTCTATAGATAAAGTCTTTATACTAACCAGAATCCGGTGACATATACGCGGTCTCACCGGAAACACTACTTATTACTTCGCATAACTTGAAGAATATCTACTTTTAATAATGAACACTTCAGAAATACACCAGTAAAAACATTTTTTATTTGAGATTAAAACTCGAATTAAATTATAAATATTAGTTACCTATGTTGTTATAGCTTTTATAGGCCTGTTTAACGACTTAATAAGTTACCTAGCGAAAAAATCTGTGCGCGTACCTACCACTATTGTTACAGGTTAATTCGTTAAAGAAATATGTTACACAAATTAAAAACGCTAAAATTTTAATGGTATTACTTGTGCATTATTGGCCTTATAATGCAATTTGTTGGAATTATATCTTCTTTAAATATAATTAGACTTTTTAACGACTTTTAAGTTACCTAGGAAAAAAACTGTACACGTACCTACCACTATTGTTACAGGTTAATTCGTTAAACAAATGTGTTACATATTATTCGTGGTATTAGTGGTATTATATTGGAATCAGCTTGGCATTAGTGGGGCATTATATGAGAAATTTTGGTATTTAATTTGTATTCTTGGCATTAGTATATACAGACATTTGTCAGCGGTTTACTCCTTGTAGATAATCAAAATTTTTTTGATAAAATTTGCTTTTTATGTCAGATCATTTCTATGAAAAATTACATTAGATTTTTATTAAAGACGCTGGGTAATTAAAACATTGACTAATAAAGCTTGTCCACTTTAAATAAGAGGTCACGAAATATCCTCCTTGGAGTGTTTGGGTTAAGGGGTGTATAATAAATTAATCCTTGATTTATAATAAAAACCATAAAACATTTATTTGTGAGTAAAATAATGCAATGGTTGGATATCTCTCCTTTATAATTAGGTGACTAAAAATACACTAAAATAATTAGAAAAAAAATCTTGTACTTATTTAGTAATTACGTCAATATTAATTAATTGACATTCTAGTCTATTTTATTTTATGTACAAATATATTATTAAATTTTAATCTAAGCATTAAGTAATAAAACACTTTGTGCCCCCTTTATATCGTAAGAGGTTACGAAATATACTCCTGGTTACACCCCTTACAGAAAACAGTGTAAGGGGTGTAAATAAATTGTATAATCACTGTTTTTTATAATAAAAACTATAAAACATTTCTTATTTGTGAGATTAAAAAAACAAAACAATGCATTGGTTAAAATAAGTACATTCAATACATATGTATGTGTTATAACATAATATAGCCATTACTATTATACTATTATTATTAAAATAATATGTGTGTAACATATTTCTTGTAACAGACATTTATATGCCCAGTATATTTTTGTTTAACAAATCAATCAGGAAAAATCCAAAACCTACCGTTATAGGAGGTATAAGATTATTAAACTTATATAATGACAACTACTTATCGGATAACAAATTAATTACTACTGTCAGCTAGTTCAGCTACTGTCTAGGTAGAATATACCTAGAGTACCTACACCTACCTATGATGTAGGTAGATTAAAGCTTATTTTGACCATATTTTGACTTTACCTCTCACTTCGGTGTCACAAGCTGAATTTTTCAGGGATGGAAGTACAGTACATGATATGGGGACCCTTATTCCGAAAGTAGTACAAAATTAGACCGGGTAAAAGGGCACTATCATCAAAAATCGATATATTAATACCACAGTATAGAGAAAACAAATACTTATTTTTTGATCCAGTACACAATAAAGTCTTCGTAGGGAGTAATTTTTTATAATTATTTACAAAAAAACATTTCCATTAGCGCTTATGACCAAAAAAAACTTTAAACATGAATAATCATTTCAATCATGCGAAAATTTGGTTTAAAAATAGATTTTTCTTAATATAACTTTCATTTAACGAAAAACGAAGGCCTAAATGAAAAAAAGAAACAATTTAAAAGTTTCGCATATGTCCTGACAAGGTATCAAAGCAAACCCCATATTTTTTGCTTTTAAACTAATAAAGATATATCAATAAACAATTAGCGATGTAATGGTTTTTGCGCGCGCTGGCCGACTGCCGCCGCTGCGCCGAAATTTCCAAACCAAACCAAACGTATATATGTGTATATATGACGTCATGGTGTGGCAAATGTAGCATTTTAATTCGATTTGAGCTCCCTTATATAGGATAACAGAAACATTTTCAATGTTAAAAATAATGTTTAGATTTAGGTTAATTGGACGTCCCTGGTTTTTCCCCTGTTTTGTTT